GATTTCCCAGGGCCCCCCCTCCCATTCCTCTTCCCCTTTTTCTTACCAGACATTTTCTCCTACCAAGGTTGGCATTTCTTTCTTTCTCCTTCCGTCTCTGGGGCTGCAGGCAGAGAGTTTACTCCTGGGGACAGAGGAAGCATTTTTTTTTGGGGGGGGGAGGTGCAAATCCAGCTTCCTTTCCCCGCATTCGGGCTCTATTCCTTCCCTCCCAGAAATATTGTTAAAAACTCCCGGGCCCTAAAGCGGCCAGGCTTGTTGCCACAAGGACCAGGTCCTTTTCGGTGGTGGCTCCTATCTGGTGGAATGAGCTCCCAGAGGAGATCAGGGCCCTGTGGGACCTGTTATAGTTCCGCAGGGCCTGCAAGACAGAGCTCTTCCGCCAGGCTTTCGAATAGGAGCCGCCGCCGCCACCACCACCAACGGGTGATTGTAGAGCAGCACCGCTGGGTTGGGCTGACTGGCCACCCGAACATCATAGCCTACAGCTTCCTCCTTTTTGACCACAATGAGATGTGCAATAGGAAGCGAGTATGTTAGTTGCGATGGATCCGTGGGAGCTGCCCACTGTGTTTAAATTGTTTTTTACTGTATTTTATAGCACTGTGTGCCTTAATTGTTTTTAACTGCGGTACTGTATTCCACCTTGTGTTTGTAAGCCGCCCTGAGCCTGCGTACGTGGAGGGCGGAGTATAAATGGAATAAAATAAAATAAAATAAAAAATAAATAGGTGGTTTCTGGTTGCATTTGAGGTCTTATGTTTTATCCGCACAGGGAAATAGAAAGTCAGTAATCTACACTTGTCCCTGTTTAAAGAACAGCACCATCTACCGATGTCTGACCCCCTCCCCCTACTGAGATTTACAGTCCTCCTTATACTAGGCAGGGGAATGAGGAGCTGGGGCTCCTCATGGACAGGACAGGTGGACACATTTCCCCTCTATCTGCAGCACTGAAAGGGTTAGACTGCCAGAGCCCTTTGCTGGAGAGGCCGAGATGGGAACAAGGCCATAGAGCTCCCCCTCCCATCACGATGTGGGGCTAGGCAAGGGCGAGGTAGTCAGGATACAGTCCGAGGTCAAGAGCCAGTCACGCAAGTTAGCCGGAAATCAAGTCCAACACAGAAAACAAGAGCGGGGTGGTCAAGGTATAGTCCAAAGTCAAGAGCCAGGCAAGCAAACCAACCGGGAAACCAAGTTTAAAGTACAAACCGTTAGAGTCGTCAGGAAACCAGAGTCCAAAAGAGTCCAGAGCCGGAGAGTCAAAAGTTCGGGGTGCAGAGTCGAAGCGTGGTCGTTCAAGCTGAGGTCAAGGAGCCGAGGAAATCCAGATGGGAACCAGGAGTTGGGATCACGAGCGAGGAGGTGCAGAGCTTTCGTCCGAAGAGACTAGTTGCTGGCACGATTTGTCGGCGTGAGGGCGTGGGTTAAATAGCCCCTAAGCCTGCTGGCAATTAGCGCGCCTCCAGCGAGTCCCGGCTCCTGCTAATACTCGGGGCTGAATGAGTGCCTGCCACGCATGCGTGCCTCTCACCGCCGGGCTGCCATATCCCGTCAGCGCTGTTCTCTCAAGCGGGATACCGGTGGAGGCAAATCAGGAGGAGAACTGTCCGGGCATGCTTCTGCCTCAGCTGTTGCTGGGGTAGCCTCTGGAATCTCAGCCCCGTCAGGTGTGAGAGTTTCTGGCATTGAGAGCTCATCGCTGGCAGCACTTAGATCCTCGGCTGGGGCCGCTTGTTCGCACTCAATGGGAGCTCCTTGCTCGCAGTCAACAGGAGCCGTGACCCCCCCCCCCCGTACAGCCATTTTCTCCAAGGGAACTGATCTTTGTCAGCGGCAGGTCGTTTGTAATTTGGCGAGAACTTCAGGCCCCACCTGGAGGTTGGCAACCCTGCTAGGAACCTTTTGCACCGCTCTGAAACCAGATACTCAATGTCTTTCAGTACAAGAAAAGTTAAAGGAACAAAAACGATGTTCACTTGCTGGTCATTTTAAACAAAAGGCTGGTCTCTCTCCATTAGATGAGTAAGAAAGGGCTCCGGTGGGAAAGGAATTCCTGCTTGCTTTGGAATCAGCTGCAGCCCCATCCTAAGACCCCGATGCCTTCCCACTGTGGGTCGGGAGCTGCAAGCTGGTCTCCAAGGCCTGCCCAGCAGAGGGGAGAAACATTAAAAAAAAATAGATTGCAAAGGTGCAGAGAGCAATGCCAGCAAAGATCGTAGAAACACCGTCAATCACAGCAGGAGGTGACCCCACCCCCAGTCACGCAAAGATGGGCGGAGCATACTGAAGTGGCCACACCCCCTGGTAGCCTCCCACAGACACAAGCCTAGGAGGAACAAAATGGCACATGGGCATACATTACTGTGAGGATTGTGGTGTGAGCAACTAGGGATCGAGGGCCACTGATGTGGGTTCGAGTACCCAGCCACAAGCAGTGTTTTGCAAAGTGGACGCACAGGGAGAGAAGACGGCTATTCCAACCGCATCTCCCCTGCCCCCATCTTTCCACAGCTCACTTGGCAGAGGCAGCCGTAACAATGCCAAATTCTCCTTCCTGCACTGGAGCTTTGGGGGGGGGGGGAGTAAGGGTAGCCCTTTGCCAGGCGAGAGAGGTACAAACCCCCCGGGAAACACAAAAGGAAGAAACACAAGGGCACAATCACAGGAGGCGTGGGTTCAGAGATATAGAAGAACTAGAAAAAAGGAGCCCCCTCATGGATCACTGCCTTGTCGTGGCGAGGGGCTTGCGTTGTTCGATGAGGCTGTGGGCTATGCTGTGGAGGGCCACCCAAGATGGACAGGCCACAGCAGAGAACTCAGACCAAGAGTGATCCCCTGGAGAAGGAAATGGCAACCCACTCCAGTACTTTTGCCAAGAAAACCTCATGGACAGTATCAAAAGGCTAAAAGATATGACGCCGGAAGATGAGCCCCTCAGGTTGGAAGGTGTCCAATATGCTACTGGGGAAGAGCAGAGGGCAAGTACAAGTAACCCCAGAAAAAGTGAAGCGACTGGGCCAAAGCCGAAAGGACGCTCAGTTGTGGATGTGTCTGATGGTGAAAGGAAAGCCCGATGCTGCAAAGAACAATACTGCATAGGAACCTGGAATGTAAGATCTATGAGCAAACTTCAGAGGACGGCGGAAGACAGGACAGCCTGGCGTGATCTGGTCCATGGGGTCGCAAAGAGTTGGACTCGACTGTGTGACTGAACAAGAACAAAGAAAAAAGGAGTAGAAATAGAGGGAACCCGAATTTAACAGCCGATGAAACTAAGATATTAAGAAACTTAGGAGATGAGAGTATTCTTATTAAAAGAGCAGATAAAGGGGAAGCCCTAGTTATATAGACATTGTTGAATATTGTAAAGAAGTGGCTAGGCAATTGTCAAATACCGCTCCGTGCATGGTGCACCGGGTCCCGTAACATGGCCGACTCTGCCTGTGTAAACCCCCTGGTTCAACAACAACTACCTCGGGCTATATAGCCCTTCCAAACTTGTTAAAGAATAGATCTCAAGAGGAAACGGGCAAACCACAATAACTGGTAAATGACAGGGACACGACAGAGAGAGAGCAAAAAGGGCTCTTGGGTGTCAGAGAGGTCACACATCGGGGATCATCGGGGGAGTTCATTCCTCTCCGGCTTGAGGCTTGCTGTGCAGGCCGGAGGGAGGGGACACAATACGCATAATGGGGAGTGGTCACCTCCTTCTCTCGCAAAGTTTCATGGGTACATAATTTTGGATACAAAAATACATTCTAAAAGCACATTATGACTTGGCAAACACAAAAAAGGTATCAGGGCCAAGGCCTTGTATTTAAGGAGGCCCCATTGAATTGGGCAAAGGTAAAGGTCAAGGTTTCCCTTGCTCGAAAGCCAGTCGAATCCGACTCTAGGGTTGCGGTGCTCATCTCCATTTCCAAGCCGAAGAGCCAGCGCTGTCCGAAGACGTTTCCGTGGTCATGTGGCCAGCATGACTAAACACCAAGGCACACGGAACACCATTACCTTCCCACAGAAGTGGTACCTATTTATCTACTTGCAATTTCTTGCTTTCAAACTGCTAGGTTGGCAGGAGCTGGAACGAGAGATGGGAGCTCACTCCGTCATGTGGCACCCTTCAAGGACAATCCCAATGGGCTCTCCCTGGAATGAGTGACGCATGCGTAGGCCCTGGCACGGAGAGCATGCACAGTGTGGGCAGTGCGTGCTTTTTCTGGACCGGGTGTTGCTGCGTATGTAAATGCACGCAACCGCTGTGCATGATGGGTATGGGCCTCAAATTTAGCAAAATGAGATAAAAACACACAGTAAAACATTTCAAAAAATACATTTTTAGACAAGGCATGTACCCTTTGACCACAATATTCATATGATACAATTTTTGAACAAAATAAAATACTCATTGTGACCTTAAGATCTCTTTCCACACAGTGAGCATTCAAAAGGTTTCTCCCCCGTGTGAATTCTTTGATGGTGTTGAAGATGGTGACTCTACCTGAATCTCTTTCCAGATGCTTGAGCATTAAAAATGTTTCTCCCCAGTGTAGGTTCTTTAGTGCAGCTGAAGAGTTACACTCTGACTGAATCTCTTTCCACACTGAGCATACAAAGCATTTCTCCACTGTGTAGGTTCTATGATGTTGTTGAAGACTGCCACTCCTACTGAATTTCTTTCCAAACTCTGAGCATTCAAAAGGTTTCTCCTCAATGTGGGTTCCCTGGTGCAGTTCAAGAGTGCGACTCAAAGTGAATCTCTTTCCACACTCTAAGCATTCAAAAAGTTTTCCCCCTGTGTGAGATCTCTGATGCTGTTTACGAGAGCAACTATAACTGAATCTCTTTAGACTCTGAGCATTAAAAAGGTTTATCCCCTGTGTGGGTTCTCTGATGCTGTTTAAGATTCCCCTTATTACTGAATTTCTTCCCACACTCTGAACATTCAAAAGTCTTCTCCTCTGTGTGGTTTCTTCGGTGCACTTGAGGACTGCCATTTAGACTAAATCGCTTTCCACACTCTGAGAGTTTAAATGGTCTCTTCCCGTGTGGGTTCTCTGATGGTTTTTAAGATTCCCCCTCTGACTGAATCTCTTTCCACACTCTGAGCATTCGAAAGGTTTCTCCCCTGTGTGAGTTCTTCGGTGCAGTCGAAGACTGAAATTTCTACTAAATCTCTTTCCACACACTGAACATTCAAAAGGTTTCTCCCCTGTGTGGGTTATCACATGCTTTTGCAGATAGGCAGTTTTACTGAATCTTTTCCCACACTCTGAGCATTCAAAAGGTTTCTCCCCTGTGTGAGTTCCCTGAGTCCACTTCTTATTGAATTGCTTTCCACACTCTGAATATCCAAAAGGATTCTCCTCGGTGTGGATTCTTCGATGCAGTTGAAGATAGCCACTCTGACTGAATCTTTTCCCACACTCTGAGCATTCAAAAGGTTTCTCTCCTGTGTGGGTTCTCTGATGCTGCTTCAGATGGCAACCCTGCCTGAATCTCTTTCCACAATTTGAGCATTCAAAAGGTTTCTCCCCTGTGTGGGTTCTTTGGTGCAGTTGAAGACTGAGGCTCCAAGTGAATTTCTTCCCACACTCTGAACATTCAAAAGGTTTCTCCCCTGTGTGGATTCTTCGATGCAGTTGAAGAGTGTCATTTCGAACAAATCTCTTTCCACACTCTGAGCATTGAAATATTTCCTCTCCTGTGTGGGTTCTTTGATGCGCTTCAAGATACTGAGTTCTAGTGAATTTCTTCCCACACACTGAACATTCAAAAGGTTTCTCCCCTGTGTGGGTTCTTCGGTGCAGTTGAAGATTGGCATTTTGACTAAATCTCTTCCCACACTCTGAGCACTGAAAAGGTTTCTCTCCTGTGTGGGTTCTCTGATGATTTTGAAGAGTCTCCTTGAAATTATATCGCTTTCCACACACTGAACATTGAAAAGTTTTCTCCCCTGTGTGAATTCTTCGATGCAGTTGAAGATTGCCATTTTGACTAAACCTCTTTCCACACTCTGAGCATTGAAAAGGTTTCTCCCCTGTGTGGGTTCTTCGATGCTGTTGAAGATGACCTTTTTGACTAAATCTCTTTCCACACTCTGAGCACTGAAATGCTTTCTCTCCTGTGTGGGTTTTCTGATGTTTTTGAAGAGTCGCCTTGAAATTATATCGCTTTCCACACACTGAACTTTGATAAGTTTTCTCCCCAGTGTGGATTCTTCGATGCAGTCGAAGATTGCCATTTTGACTAAATCTCTTTCCACAGTCTGAGCACTGAAAAGGTTTTTCCCCCGTGTGGGTTCTTCGATGCCGTTGAAGACTGCCATTTTGACTAAATCTCTTTCCACACTCTGAGCATTGAAAAGGTTTCTCCCCTGTGTGGGTTCTTTGATGCAGTTGAAGATTGTCGTTTCGACTAAATCTCTTTCCACACTCTGAGCACTGAAACAGTTTCTCCCCTGTGTGGCTTCTCTGATGTTTTTGAAGAGTCACCTTGAAACTAAATTGCTTTCCACACACTAAACATTCAAAAGGTTTCTCCCCTGTGTGGGTTCTTCGGTGCAGGTGAAGTGTCCCCTTCACACTGAATATCTTTCCACACACTGAGCATTTAAAAGATTTCTGCCCTGTGTGGGTTCTTCGGTGCAGTTGAAGTGTCCCCTTCACACTGAATCTCTTTCCACAGACTGAGCATTTAAAATGTTTCTGCCCTGTGTGGTTTCTTCGGTGCAGTTCAAGAGTCCTACAGTGTGAATGTTCAAAAGGTTCATCCCTTTTGTATATTCTTTGGTGCACAAGGAGCTGTGATCTAGTTCTCAAGTACTTTCCACACGGCATGGATTTGTGTGTCTTCATTATTCTACGCTTCCGAAAACGTATAGTATTCTTTCTTTCATCTCTCCCCTCGACCGTACACCTGCCTTTCTTTCTCTTAGCTCTGTCTCGATTCCTAATGTGTTCTTTCAATTCTTCTTTTTTCATTTTATCTGGAATTTGCTGATGAAGTTCCTCACCCTCCTCATTCCTCTTATCATTCTCTGCCGAAATAAAATGAGAGATCCTGTTAGCACCTGGGAGGGCTGGTAAGGTCCAAAGGCATCTATGTGACTGCAGTAGGAAAGGACTGATGGCCCTTTGGCTGATCTTAACTACCCCTCCACTATTCCCCAGAATATTTAGTATTTAAGGATACCTCAGCCTCTCAAGAGCCACAGCTGAACTCTTGCCCGGAAGGAGTTTCTGAGCCTCCGGATTTCAGGCCCCCAGAAGGCCTCCCTCCCTCTTTACCCAGTGGGCTGTATGACTGTACCAAACCAAATGTTGCTCACAAGTGAATCAGAAATCCCCCGTGGCTATGTGTTGCCTATTCCCTTCACATAACCATGAAGGATATACATGCTCAGCCAGCTCATTTGGGAATGAAATATGCTCTTGGGATCCCTCTTGAGGAACTCCCCAGCCTTCCCTTGGATGCAAGGCCATTGCCTGTCTCCACCATAGCCTTATACTACTGGCTTCTTTCGTAGAGAGAGAGAGAATTAATTTATTTATGGCAGTGTGTCGTGAGGCCAGGAGAGCCTAAGACTGTCTGAAAGCCGGAAGTTCCAGCTCTATAGCTTTCTGCAGAACTAGAGGGTGGGCTAAACTTCTTTTTTAGGCAAGAGACTATTTAGAGGTTGTTTTCTCATTGCCTGCCTCAGCATTATGGCCCTGGCATCCCTTAGAAGTCACCCTTCCAAATACTAGCCACGATCGACCTTTCCTTAGCTTCTGAAATCTGACCAGATAGGGCTAGCCTTGACTTTCCGGGGTCAGTGTAGAGAGAAAGTGATCATTCTTATATGGGGAAGGAAAGGAATTCAACAGGAAAAACTCTTCTGGAAGGACAAAACCATGGTGAAGATTAAAGCCCAAAATCCCAACCAGTATAAGGGGAATGGAACTGTGGGGAAACCACCGTAGTTCCCCGAAGGGTTAACGTGATTACTAAGTGGCCTGGTCCAACTTACAGGTGTTCGTGATTTGAGTCCCCCTGCAGCTAACATCTTATTAAAGTTTAGGCTCCGGAATGTGGTAATTGGTTCATCATGAGAACCTGTATCCAGATGTGTAACCAGGAGGGGGGGGTTAGGAGGGTGCTGTCAGCCTCTGGAAAATTCCATCAAGGAGGACCCCTGATTGGGTCATTAGGACCACCTGACCCTAGAGAGGTAGAAAGTATAATACGGGTCTAGACCAGAGGGGAGCCATGCTCACTTTTCGCTCATGCCATGCTAGTGTGCCTTGATATTTTCTTGCTTCATTATGACGAATACTTTTCTGTAGAGTAACTTAGGCTACAGTGGGAATGTTACACTGCAAGAAAAAGATGCCATTGAATCCCAAGTCTTTCATGTCTTCGATAGAACAGTTAGCTTTTCTTGTTTTTCTGTTGCTGAGCTGAATAAATCCTTTAAAAACCGTCATATATTTTTAAATGGGGTCTGCTTTACTTGTGGGCACTCTCCTCGTGAGCCCCCTGAACTGGGTGCTGCTCAGGTACAAAGAGGAGTGACCTAGGGGGTCTGGAAATGGAGAAATGAGGATCAGGCTTCTTTCAGAGTCTTTCTGAGGGCCTCTCTTCCCCTTTGCCTCAGGCCAGGACACCTTCTCTGGCTTGGGTGATGGCCACAACACTGGCCTCACTGGCCCCTGGGCAAGTACACTCACATGAACAAGGGAAGCTGCCTTATATATGATGAGACCCTTGGTCTGCTGAAGTCAGTATTGTCTACTCAGTCTGGCAACGGCCCTCCAGGGTCTCAGGCAGAGGTCTTTCCCATCACCTCCCACCTGATTCTTTAAACTGGTGATGCTGGGGATTGAACCGGGGACCTTCTGCATGCCAAGAAGATATTCTGCCAGTGAGCCACAGCCCCTCCTCAAATAGCGGGACAGGCCTCCGAATGGTGTATTGCTATTCAGTATTTTGATTCATGACTCATCACAATGTGTCGTGTATCAGCCGCGGACTGCACATGCGGTCATGAAAATAGCAAAGCTTCGCTTAAAAGACAATAGCTGGCTAGGATCATGGAACGGACCAAATGGCCAGCCAGATCCAGGACTGGACCTATGGGTGCAGGTGTGTGTGTTGGGTGTGGTGTGTTTTGGGGATATAAGCAGGACTCCAGTCCTGCTAGTTTGTCTTCCGTTCGTGCTTGATAATAAACTATGGGCTTCAAACCCAGCATATTTCACAATGGCAGCAATTGACACCTTGGGCACCTATGAAAGATCCTTACCCAGAAAGGCCACATTCCCAGAGTTCTCCAGCATGACTTCCCTGTACAGAGCTCTTTGTCCCGGATCCAGCAGGGCCCATTCCGCCTCGGTGAAATGGACGGACACCTCCTCAAAGGAAATGGGACACTGAAAGAAAAGGCAGATTCCCTCCTCAGAGATCATGCCAGGCAGAGATTGTACACTGGAAGGGAGTTGCATGGTTTGGTAAAGGTAAAGGGAACGGCGTTCAGAGGATCTCTTGCCCGGACACCTTGTAGAAACTGCAGGAGCAAAAGCCCCCTTGAGAAAGGAGGAGGGAGCCAGGTTGTCCCCTGCTCATCTCTCCTACCTGGACTGGAGCTGCAGCAGCCATTTCCACACCTCTGAAAAGACGACGGCTCAACAGCACCTCTTCACGGCCTGTTACTGAGACAAAGGAGGAAGGAAGGGTGCTTGCTTGTGTCTTCCCTGCTTCACCCCCCCTCCCAGGTTTCTGAAACCTTGCCCTGTGTACACTCAACTATTTTTTGACACTTTTTACTGAATTCTGGGAGAGGTAGAAGAGAAGCATCAGCCAATGCTTCCTCTAAGCTGTGGAGTCTTGTGAGCAAACATTCTACTTTGTGAGCTACTGGCATTAAAGTTCTGAGCGAGCGATTTGGCCGGTGCATAAATTAGTTTGCTCTGGATCCATCTTTCCTGAGCTAAGACAAAACTGTGAGAGCTGGAAGCTAAAACATGTCAGCTAGCCCACACTAACTCAGCTTAGAGGGAACACTGGCACCAGGTACCTATGTGCCTCAGGGATTATAAATGCTGCCAAAAGATTTCAGAACTTTTCCTGAGACCCTTTCCTGGCCGGGAGGGTGGGAAAGAGGGGTGTGGAAATGAAATCACATGAAATGTCACTGCCACATTCGACCCAGACATGACCGGAGCACATCTGGAGACTCAAGGGTTATAGGAAAGAGTTTTCAGAGTGTCTCTTGGAATTCTAACTTCACAAACAGGTTTTCAGCCAGATGCAACGTCATTATGATACCACATCTGTCTCCCGAAGCCCCTCCCCAAAGCTCCCCAGGATTCCTAGCCCTCCCCACTCCAGCATCCTAGTTCCCATAGCAGCCTGCTGGATTGCACTATAAGTACGGGCACAGAAGTCAAATTTTCCCATTATCAGGCCCTAAAAACTGGTTTTCGAAGCTCTGCTGCCCCAGCAGGTGGAGGCTCCCTTTATGCATTAGCCTGATTCACTCTGCTGAGGGTTCTCTGGCTTTTCTCTTTTGACCCACCTTGAGTTCCTCTTATGGAAGGAAGGTAAGATATTGATATTGAAATGAATTGAATGGCCCTCTGTGCAGTTAACTAATTAACTTTTAGAGGACATTCAAGTTAGTGGACATTCAATGCCGCAAACAAACTCTGTGTTGTGTGAAGAAGTGTTTGATTTTTTTTCTTGGCCTGAACTCTCTATCCATCAGATTCACACTGTGCCCCAATCGCATCCAGACATGACGAATCCTTACCACAAGAGACGGCAACCTGGGCACGCTCCGCGGCCTGCGCCCTCTGCCCTTCCTCAGGAGGAGCTCCTCCTTCTTCAGGGACTGTTGCTTCTGTCTTCACGGATGGTCCCGACATCTGAAACAGCAGCGAGGGAGAGGGGGTAAGAGATGGAATGGAAGAGACCAAGCAAGGGGTCCTGCCCCACTCCCAGACTCTGCACCCTTCGATCAGCAAACCTGGTGAGTTATCTAAAGTAAAAAGACATTCTCTAGTAGAAGAGGCTGCTGAAGGAGGCTGTGAAATCTCCCATTTGGATTATTAACACTCTGACAAAGTTCTGGCACAGAAACTTTAGGATAAAGCCAGATATTGTTGCTTGAATGGGACCTGCCTGGAGGAAACCCCCTCACCTGTTCTGCCTGCCTCTTCTCCTCTGCTTGACTCAGGAGGAAACCTTCGGCCAAGGCCACAGCCTGGGAACTGCTCTCTGGCCCGCATCCTCTGACCCAGCACTGCATTTCCTGGGGCAGGAGAGTCAGGAACTGCTCCAGGATCACCAGGTCCACGATCTGCTTCTTGCTGTGCCTCTCCGGCTTCAGCCAGTGGTTGCAAAGTCCATGGAGCTGGCTGCAAACCTCTCGGGGCCCATCGGCCTCATAGTAGCGGAACAGCCGGAAGTTTGGGCAAAGTACACCTGAGGTTATGGTGTCCTTAGCCCGGATCTCTGGCTCAGCTCTTTCCCAGAATTCCATACCACTCCCAGCTTGGAGGAGATGGGGGCCTTTGCTTGCTGTCTTGCCAATCGCAGATCCTCCTGGGTCCTCTTGTTCCATCTCCTTCCCCTTCTCTTGGGTCACTTCAGACTGTGAGAAGGTGCCTTTATTCACATGGCTATGATGAGAGGCTTCTTCCTGGGGGGACAGAGAGAGAAAGGCAGCAATGTATCAAAAGGAAAATAAGAACGGAGATACACCACTGAACATCATAAACTTTCATATGCTCAGGTGACAAGTGAGAATTGCCCTGGTGGATCAGAACATGGCTTGTAGAACCAGGAGTCATTTCCT